TTCATACACACAATGAAAATATTTCCCTCTCTCTCTCTCTCCTTGACACTAAAGCTTGTGCTGTCCATTTATAATACTGCTGGTATCTCACCCAACTGTCGCATTTAGATTTTTTGCTGTTATTATTATCGTAGCCTTCAGCTTTTTTAGCATGCCATTATGTTTATCTAATTTATTCCTTTTATATTACTAATGGAAAAACATCCTGTTTCATCTTTGGGGTTTTGCAACAAAACATTTGCATTTCCCTCTACAATAAAACAGGCCATATTTTTATGGATTTCAATCATTTATTGTATTCTCTTATATAACAGATAAAGTAGGACTTTGCTTAGAGCACTGTTTGCATATTAACTGGCCGCATAACATAACCCCAGTGTATTTCCAGAAAAACAACTCCTTCTCTGAAAAAGAAACATTAAAGAGGAACTTTACCCATTTCTTTAAAATAATAACAAACACACCTTTAGAAATGTTTAGTAATGACAATCTACACACAGTTACGTCTAGAAGATTGCCGGCTTTGTATTCTTTGAATACCTTATCTTTTCTTTCCCAGTCTTCTGACAGTGGCCATGTTAACTAAGGGCAGAATTCTAGATCTCTCTTTACTTCCTGGAACTCTGGCACATGTGACTAGGACTTGTGACCATGCACATCATCTCAGGGGAGAAAAATACCTTTCCATGAGATCTCATGAGATTACAGATGAGATTTCTTAGCAATGCACAGCTGATGTAATCTTCCCAAGATGCACATTACATAATTTGTGCCAAAACAGGACTAGGAAGTGAATAAACTCTTTTTGTAAGTAAATGAAAAACATGTTTGTTTAACTTATGAATGTAAGATTATTTTAAATCAGCACACAGAGCTGCATGCTGATGTGATTTTTAGTGAAAGGGGGTAAAGGTGCACTTTAAGAAATCTAAAGCAGGACTCCATACACTCAGCTATTCACAGTTGAAATATATGTAAATAGACTTACCCACAGAATTTGTTATTCTGTTCAGACAAACTTGTGATCCTGGCACCTCTTCTAGATACGGAAAGAAAAAAGAGAGAGTGTACCTAGAGATCCACACCCCAGTCTAGTTTTGAGTTAATTAACTCAGCTTATTAACTCTCACTTGCAAAGCAAAACGAAAAAACCCCTGCTGCTTACTGGAGACTAGTAAAAAGGAAAAACGGTTTGTTCAACCAAGTGAGGTTTTGAACATAGTGCAGCTGAATAAGGGGGAGTCGGAGAGTTAATTGGCAATATAAAAGGGTAAATTTATTCAAAATACAAGGCAACAAACCATAACACATTAACGGACTACACAGTTGATTCCCACTAACCCTACACCTTTAAAAATTATTGCAATAATCCATTCGTGCAAAACAACATTCAAGACCTTTTGGAGCTTGTAGATCAACTTTGATTAAGTAATCTAGCGGTTCTCAATATTTGAGAAAACAGCGCTGGGGATAAAGTGAATAGTGCAAGATACAACGTATCAGGTGCCTGGGATTACTTAATTGCATTAATAATTTTCCCTCTAACTGCAGACATCTTTTTAAGTTGTGTCCTGTTATAGATAAAGTCCCTGGGAACAGAACTTGGATCTTTATTAGTTCTTTCACTGGATCCCACAGATATTGCTAGGAAAAAACTTGATTGAAGAAATCTTACTAGGACACTTTAAAGTATGAAAGTGGACCCGGGAGAATAGATAACATACCGCTGAGTTTTAAACACTCCTGGGAGGAGGAAACCTCCAATCTGTGTATAGTAATAAACTCGAGTAAGATTTACTCACGGATGTTCTGTTTTATATTGCCAATTAACTCTCCGTCTCCCCCTTATTCAGCTGCACTATGTTCAAAACCTCACTTGGTTGAACAAACCTCTTCTAGAGACCTCAGCCAAATTAGCAATCTTGGTTTTCTCTACTACAGTTATGCAGTACAGCTTTGCCAAGAACTCACCACCAGCCTATGACTGGAAAATGGGACAATGGAAGAAGGACACCAAATCCTCTACTGTACCATGTTTAGTGTTAGGCAGCACTCTGAAAATTCTACCTTGGAAAAATAGTACTCCAAGAAGCGAAAATAAAGGCAGATGGGTACTTATACTAATATGTCACAATACAGTTTTACACCTTCGGGACCATTATCTGTAGATAACATTTTCAAGCAAGGTTCCTCATGGAGAAAGAATGTTTAGTTACATTGCAGTCTAAAACTAGGAACTCACACCTGTGTGCAGTCCTAGTTCTGAGACCACATTGACACTGACAGCCATTGTTTCGTGTAAATAATTGGAGGTTCAAAGGCCAGCAGCCATGCAAAACTGCTAGCTGTCAAAAGGAGGAAGTTTATTGACACCGCCTTAGCACAGGGTATCATTTTAAGGAATGTTAAAGTGATATTAAAGTTAAAAGGTTTGTAAGCTAATTCAAATGCTGATGAAATCACTGCATACTGCTCCTTGATGTTTAAAAGTTTTAGTTTCCTGTAGAATCAGCTGGTCCCCTGAGCATTGGCCTTGATATCCTGTTTAAGGATGGCTCCTTTCTCTATGGAGCCACCCATATGTGTGCTAGTAAGCTGTGTGTGTCTCCACAAACGAGCATGGCAAGGCACACCACTCCCATGCCCTCCACCCCTTCCTTCCCCAAGCTAGTAGATACACAGTAAATGGACACAGCTCTGTCCCATGTGATCTTGTTGGACAGTATGTTCAGGGAAGTAGAGCTGAGAAAGTTGGAGCCAGCTGTTGTAAAAGATAAGTGTAAGTGCTTGGGCAAACGTGTAAAGAAACACTTTGCTGGACAATGTATATTTGTTTGATCTAGATGCATTATTGAAACAAAGTTTGATAGTTTATTACTACTTTAATATGTGGACAGAAAATGTTAAATATTAAGTAATTAACTGTGTGAATACTTCAAACAGTCATCTAAATACAATCTAAAGACTCAAAGAGAGGGAAAAACTATCAAGTACTAGGATGCTGCAATCTTAAAAATAGCCTTTCAAGACCACTTTAATTTAAAGAATACACTGATAAATTAAATCCTTCATCAAACATATGAATGTTGTTTTCTGCAGTTTTCATTTACATTCTGCCCACTAGTGCATATGCAGTGTATGTTACATTTCATGTATAGCTCCGGTGATAATTGTCACAGTTGTCAGTGTGCTTATGTCAGCTCTCAACCCGTCTTTCAAGCTCCCAAATGGCTGGAGTTATTCCTGGTCACACATGCGGTACTATGGCAACCACAGCTCTAAATAGAGGCTAAGATGGCACCATTTTTAGTGGACAGGAGTATATAAGGGGTTAGTTCTCCTTTTAAAAAAAAACTGGAAATCTTTTTATGGGTGGGTGAACCCATCATAATAGGCACAGCAGGGGTGCAAACCCAAAAATGTAGTGCATGGATGGTAGCAACCCCCTTATAACGGGCGCAGCAGGTCTACAGGCCAAGAACTCAGCACGGGTGTATTGGAAACCCCTCATAATGGGCACAGCAGGTGTGCAAACCCAAGAACTCAGTGCAGGGATGATGGGAACCGCTTATAATGGGCACACCAGGTGTGCAAACTCAAGAACTCAGTGCAGGGATGATGGGAACCCCTTATAATGGGCACAGCAGGTGTACAGACCCTGGAACTCAGGGCAAGGATGGTGGAAACCCCTCATAATGGGCACAGCAGGTGTACAGACCAGGAACTCAGCACATAGATGATGGGAACCCCTCATAATGGGCACAGCAAGTGTAAATAAAAAGGAAATTGACACAGAGATGGTGAAAACCCCTTTAATGGGCACATCAGGTGTACAGACCCAGGAACTCAGCACTGGAATGGGTGTACAGACCCCCTGCATCTCCATAATGTGCCTCTATGAGTCAGGCACATGTAAAATGATTTAGAAGACTCTAAATCATAAAATAAATAAATAAAATAATATTCAAATTAATGATATTCCTTTGGTGAATGTATTAGAGGCTGTTGACAGCATTGCTGGCTTCCTGGTGGATTCTCCTTAGGAGTATACAAAGTATGTATATTTGATCAATAATAATTTTATCTCCACTGAAAATGGCTCTTTTTCTGCTTTCTTCAATAAACAGCTCATAGAAACTCACGGTTATTGTCAGCCAGAAGCTAGTGATATTTTAAGAAGGGATAATAATCAGTTAATTATCTTTTACATAACAAATTACCACAAAGATGAAGATTATAACACGCAGGCGGTATATTTAACTGATCTCAAGATAAAACCTAAAAAAAATATGGTTGTAAAAGTGGGAAATTTATGCTTTGTAATAAAAATGCTACATGTGTTATGCTTCAGTTAATTGACCCTAATTTGCTTTGAAATCTAAAATGGAACTAGGGCAAAAGCAACAATGACATGATTGATGATGTATTAACACAGCCGTGTTGTTTATTAAATCCACCCTGTAACAACGTTTAATACATGTTGCTCTTAGCAGCAGATCCATTAATATCCCACTTCCTGTAATAGGGTGACAACCTTCTTTTTATTGCTCTGGTCATATTGTCCAACGGCTTGTTTTTATCTTCAACATAGTGAGTACCTGTCAATTCACCTTTATGCCTGTCTTTTTGGATTAAATGATATTGCACCAGGAAAGGCGCCTCTTCTTTTGTGTTTTTTAGGGTGACAACCTTGTTCAGCAGTGAAATTGTGCAGTAGTGTAGGTGCCCTGTTGATAGATATTGTACATTTAGGTAGATTTTAGGAAGCCACAAATAGATTAAAGTACCCATTCAGGGCAAAATAATAGGATCTCCCTCCTCTGTTACTCATACTTGCAACCCTTGCTAGTCCCCATTGTCACAGTGCCTGGATCTGGCTGGTTAGGCACTGCATTGTGGAAGGAGGAGAGAAGGTCAAATGCCCCTCCATAACAGGAAGTAGCAGCTGGTGTACCTGTTACTTGGCTTTAACACTTACGTGTGCGTATTATTTTTTGCAGGTGATGGAGGTGAAAGGACAGATGATATACGTTCCTGAGTCCAATTCTATTCTTTTTTTGGGTTCGCCACGTGTTGACAAACTGGACGAGCTGATGAGGCGAGGCTTGCATCTTTCCGAAATACCCATCCACGATGCCACCCGTGATGTAATCCTAGTTGGAGAGCAGGCTAAGGCTCAGGATGGCCTCAAAAAGCGAATGGATAAACTGAAAGACACATTAGAAAAAACCCATCAGGCTTTGGAGGAGGAGAAGAAAAAGACAGTGGATCTCTTGTATTCCATATTCCCAGGAGACGTGGCTCAGCAACTCTGGGAAGGGAAGTCTGTTCCGGCTAGGAAGTTCTATGATGTGACCATGCTCTTCTCCGATATTGTGGGGTTCACAGCCATCTGTGCACAATGCACTCCAATGCAAGTGATTAGTATGCTGAATGAACTGTACACAAGATTCGATTACCAGTGTGGATTCCTGGACATATATAAGGTAATCAGAGGAGTAACTAGATCCTTTAGGGCCCCGGTGCAAGAAACAATGAAGGTCCCCCGCCCCCCAAACCCTCCGCCGCCATGGGAAGGCACTATAATCAGGCTCCGAGTGGTTAACAGGAAGGCGGCTGAGGTGCCCAGCAAGCGCGGGACCTCAGGCAGCCGTTTCAGTTTAAAAATGTCGTGCTGGTGATCTGTTGAGAACGCCGACCTAGTATCTGCGTTTGCACAGATGGGATTAATGAGGAAACCGGCATTTATTTACAAAGTATTCGTTTGTAATGGTTAATTATGACCGGTAATAATATGCCGTCCATGGCAGTAAATGGTGGATAGCAGTAAATGATGGGTGGCAGTAAATGATGGACGGCATATTATTAACAGTCACAATTAATCATTACAAACGAATACTTTGTAAATAAATGCCGGTTTCCTCATTAATCCCATCTGTGCAAACGCAGATACTAGGTCGGCGTTCTCAACAGATCACCAGCACGACATTTTTAAACTGAAACGGCTGCCTGAGGTCCCGCGCTTGCTGGGCACCTCAGCCGCCTTCCTGTTAACCACTCGGAGCCCGGTTTCCTTGATAATACTGGTCTATGCGCAAGCGCATATGCTGAGGTCGGCAAATTCGACTACGTCGGCATTCTCGACAGATCACCGGAATCTGCGTTTAGTATCGGGGCATTTTCACGAGTATGAGTACTTGTGACAAAGCTGCTGGCCCTCTTCTTCTTCGTTGGGCCCCACCCCCAACAGGCGGAACGCCAGGGCCCAGTCACAATTGCGACCCTGGTAGTTCCGCCAATGAAGTTAATCCAGTTTAAATATTGTTATCATCATTTTGAAGGTTGTTTATCTTCAGCTCATCTTATTATTTTGAAACATATTATTATGTGCTTTTCTGTATAGGAGAAATCCAGGGCAATGATACCAAGTAACAAAGCATAAGAAACTACTTGACCACAAATGTATTAGTCAAGGTCCAGCTTTCTTTCCACATTTTTTTGGTAAATCACCCTTGCTTTTAGATGAGTTGCAGCAAACAGTAGCTTGCAGAGATTATGATCCCTGGCTCTTGCTGAGATTAAGATCTCCTGAGATTAAAGAGAGTCATTTGGAGGCTATGATGGCAGGCAACATGTGCAAGGAGAGGAGTGCAGAGGGTATGATGGGGCAGTATGTGCAGAAGAGGAGTGTGGGGGTTTTAATGGCAGGCAGTATGTACAAGAGAGGAATGTGGATGGTATTACAGCACACAGTTTGTGCAGGAGAGGAGTGTGGAGCATAATATGCAAGGAAGTATGTGCAGGAGAGGAGTGTAGAGGGTATAACAGTGGACAATATGCGCTGAGGAGAAGTGTATAGAATATGACGAGGGGCAATTTGTTTAGGAGAGGCGTGTAGGTGACCGTAGGCAGGAAGCCAAAGGGAAATAAACAGCAATTTCAGCATATGTTTTGTGAATGTGAAATCATCAATTTTGCTGCAAAATAAAGTTTGCTTAAGTGAAAAGATTATTGTCCAAAAATGGATGTGCCACCTATTCTGCAAAAAGTCACATGTCATCTATGCTATTATTTCTAATAAGATTTGTTTGAAATTAATTAAGTTGAACTACCTGTAGCAGTAGGATCTCAGACACCTCGGCCCCGCCACCCGGGTACTGTATTGCCAAGGTGAGGGGAAGTAAGCAGATGACTCATATACTCAGCATTATTAGCAGTAGCAGCTGAGTCCCGCTACTAATCCCCAATCAAACATTTAGGAGCGGTGGTGGATGGGTACAGCCGGTCTAGAAAATAACAGACAGCAGGCCTCATTTTTCGCTCCCCAACTTTGTAGCAAGTACCAAGGAGAAAGGCATATACCGGTCTTGTGGGAAGAAAAGAGTTAAAGCCATAGCCAGGGGAAAAGCTATCATCCTTTTGAGAGGCACTTATAACAGACACATAAATTACTTACCCTGCATCTCCGGCCAAAAACTTGTAACATAGATCTTGAAGACAGACTTTTATGCACAGATACACTGCCCTATAATTTTCTTTTTCCTGTTGCAGTAAGAAATAAAGTTCCCACAGTTGATGGAGGAATTTCCCTCTGGGGAACGCAAATGTTGCTGTTCCCACCATTTTTTATGCAAATGGAATTTATTTACTAAGCAAAGGAATCTATTTATTGCTTGGCTGCAGTCAAATTACCAAGGACATGTACTGAGAATATAAAAACATACACAAAATGGTGCTAGTGACAACCAAAGTATCTAAGAGTTATCAGTACAATACAACTCTAAAAATCAGTATTTCGATTTTCAGCCAAGTAGTTCTCACTGTGTGGCTTTGGGCGCTACATTTGCCTAATCTCTAACTTAACTCTTAAAGTACATCTTTAGTCTACATATCTAACATCTAGAATATAGGCCAAACTGTTTTAATATGTCAATGCAAAACATTATGCTTCATACTAATCAGAAAAGGGGTAGCATGTCTTGCTAAGGCAGAGCCAACAGTTTTAATGAAGTAAAAATCAGGTTAGGGCAAAGTTTGGCTATAAGCTTGTCTGTTAGCGGAGAGAATTCATTTATATTTTTGTCTCCTATTAGTCACACCCCTTGTGCATCCTACTGCCTCATGGGCCCTGCCCTCCAACCTCTGCCAGACTTTGGATGGCTGGCTCAAGGATAGGTCCTGGATCTATCCTTATGGATCCATCAGTCCTCCAACAATTGGAGCACATGTCTGTGGCCTTGCACTCCATATCCAGAATGGGTCTCCTTTTGGTACAAATTCAGAGAATAATTTAGCTCTAATGTTGGTCTGAGGAACATCAGTGCAAGAATTTCTTTTTGCGTATGTCCTTTGATGGGGGATGTCTTGTTGGTGCATCCCTAGAGAAAGCTTTTCTAAAGATGTCATCTTTTGGATATCCCTGTGTGTTAAAATGTATTTGTCCTGTGTCCTTTAAAGAATTAACAATTTCCTGGAGTTAATTAAGGGACACATGCCCCCCCCCCCTGTGTTCTTATCCACTCATACTATTGCTTTTCCATAAATCTGCAGAATACTAGGAGTGGGAGGGGTTAGATCCCTCCCACTCCCAGCATGTTTGGCAGTGTCCAATTTCCTGAAGGCAGCAGCATAACCAAGTGCTTTACAATTATTTCACCCTGTGTCCCTTATGACTTTACAATTGTCTTCATGTGATAATCGTTCTTGTGGTTAAGTATATTTCTGGTGTTAGACTGACAAGAACTCTACATAGCAATTTAATGCTGCAGTGTTGGCGATCACAATGCAGGTATTTTGTACTAGTTGTACTTGCCTGGAATTCCACTAAAAGAGCAGCTATTAGAAAATTGCATCTTAACAACAGAATCTTTTTCTCTTGTTGGGAACGCCTATTGAATTGCGGTGGTTAAAAAAACTGCTTCTGTTAGAATTACATATTTTTCTGAAACACAGAGATGCCAGGAAGAATATTTGTTATTGCTGTACCCCAGGACTCCTGTGTCAGTCCGAATAAATGGTTTAGAGCCTAACTAAAGTGCCACTTTCAAAAGATTCCCATTTAGAATGCAAAGTAAGTTTGTCTAGCAAGGAGAATGGAGATCTTCAGTTATCACTTTCACAAAGTGCTGCCTTTTACAGCCAAACTGCACAATTAAGATAATTGGATACTGCTACAGTAAATAAACCCAAAGCAAGTCCATTCAGGAGCTAGTGCACACATGTATTGATTTTTTTTACATTTAATTTGGGGCTTTGAGCAAGTTTTGTCCCTACAATTTCTATTAAGCGCTATTAGCATTTAAACCAGCCGCATAACATAGGATGACCCACAGCAAATTCAGAAAGACAACACTTGTACAAACCATAGGTAACCATGATTTGTGGTGCTTCAACTCCTTTACCATCAGGAAGAGATAAAAAAAAATGTGATCGCATAGCTGTAGGGTTGCCAGCTTTAAAAAAAAGAGGGGGGCAAGGAGATGTTGCAGCATGTTTGGCATGCCTTGAAAAGTGGTTGTGGTTTATATATTGGGGATGTCTCAAAGCGTGTGGGTAAACCAGCGTGATTAGAGCAAAACAAAGTTTAGTGATTAAATCAAAGAAAGGTTTAGTGCAGTATAACACAATTGTTAGTTACATTTATATAGAGTTTTATGCAATAGGCCAATAAGAAGAACAACTAAGGAGGAAAGAGCGACAATGAGATTTCGTTCCAAAAGAGGGATAGTCCCTCTAAATGATGGACAGTTGATAGCTATGGGCACAGCAAAGTTATTTATAAATGTAGCGGAGCCCCAAAGGGGCCTCAGAGAATTATAACCATCCATCATCGCCATGTCTAGGGGTATCCAGATTCACAATACCCATTAGCACTTACCACCTGGTATGGTGACCCATAAAAGGACCAGACTGTGGATATGATCCTGAGGAACTTTATAGATGAACTTCAGGGAGAGAGGTTGAGGGTCAGGATCATCCAGGCTGGTGTAGACTCCTTTATGTGGTAGGATAGAATAACTGCAGCCATCACAGACTAGGACATTTAAGCCAGACATGGCAATCTGTGTGAAGAGCATCTGGCACAGCAGCACTTGAGCTAGAAGTAATTTTTTATCTTCATCCTTAGTATTAGAAGTAGCCACTGGGCCCCAGACTCGGGCCTCAGTGCAAACACATGGTTAGTCCCCAGGCTTTAGGCCTAGCCATCTCAGACAGTCTACAACAGCTTCCCCACAGGCAGGGCCTGGGGGGGAAAGGAAAGCTCACATGGTCCACCCCAAGTATTTATCTCCTCTCCTAGTATGCACCACTGGCCATTTACCTCCCACTGATTGGCTAGCGAGACATACATACTCATAGCAATCTCTCAATGAACGAAATTAAAAAAAGTTCACAAATAAATAGTGGAATGCTTACTGTATTTGACAACAGTGCTGGATTTTTTTTTTTACAGCCCCACCATGGCAAACTTATTTTTAGCAATGATCATGAAATTAAAGGAATATTTATAACAGATGGACCATCTTTTTAATCGGAACATTGTTTATATAATCATGGCAGTAACATAAGAATAAAGGGTATAACAGTGGTGTAAGATTGGGATAATACTGCAGTGGTTTGATAGTAGAAGGCTTATTCGCTATAATATAGTAATTATAATATAGTAATATGGTGTGCAGCG